AAACAAGCAACCTTAAGTTGACCATGGAGAATGGCCACCCCAAGTCGTGGGGACACCGGCAGTAAACCACAGCCGTGAGAGAGATGACAGGAACTGAAGAATGGATGCCTGTGGGGCAGCGTCAAGAGATGCTGAAATGAAAATCGGGTCAGGGCAAACAGATTCCTGTGATGTGTCCCACGACGGGCGTGGTGTGAGCGTGCTGCCCAAGTTACCAAGCCCATCATGGAAAGAGGCCTGGGACCCTGGTGAGCATCTCTCCCACGGGAACCGAAGGGCCTGTCATGTCCATGCTCCTTCCAGCACGGCTCACTGCCGCAGTCTGCCAAGGGCTCTGCAAACACTTGCTTAAGGAGTTCCCTTTAGGGAATCCGTCCTTGTGTACATGTAAAATTTGTTTTAATCCTCACCTGAGGGTGTGCTTATTGATTTTTAGAGAGAGGAAAATGGGGGGGGGGGAGAAACAATGATGAGAGAGAGAGAAACAGCGACAGGCTACCTCTTATATGCACCCCAACCGGGGACCAAACCCGCAATCCAGGCATGTGCCCTGACTGGGAATCAAACCCACGACCTTTTGCTTTGCAGGACGATGCTCCAACCAACTGAGACGCACCTGCTAGGGCCCTGTGTACATTTCTGTTAGTTTATTTGCTGACAGAAAGTTGGGGTGGGGAAAATGCTATCGGTGAGCTGATACCACAGCCTTTCCTTTCTGTACCTCATCATTCCGGGCCCCGTATAGTTCACCTAAAGATAACAATCCTTCCCATGGACTACATATCCATTTTTTCTAGAAAATCAACCCTGTTGAAAAGTGGGAAGGGGAAGGAGAAGAGTTCCAGACAAAAACAAATGACCAAAGGGCTTTCTGTGTTTCCTAATGAAAATCTCCTACCCAGACAGTGCAACACGGGGGCGGGTCTCTCCCAAGTGCAGAACCACCCCCCGCAATCCTCAAGCACAGCTCATGCATCTGAAGAGCTTCTGGAGACCCCTGGACACGCAGTGGCCTATTTGTAAGCACGCCAGGGCTCTTCCGGTGTCGGCGTCTGCCTCCACTCTGGTCCCCGGAGCTGCCTGCACAGAGCTCTGGATCTTATTTCGAGAACTCGTCTGCTCCAATTTCGTCTCCTACCCAAGGTCCCGACCCTTCGCTGAATTTCAATTAGTTGCCCCGAGGATCCTGGAGGAGACTCATTTCAGAGGAAAACACCTTCAGCCAGGCAGCGCCAACACGGCCCGTAGTTAGTGCCTATGAATTTCGACTCTGAGAACTGCCACTTGCACGCGGCCCAGAGAAACGCCTCCTGCAAAGGCCCGCGTTTGCTGCGCTTGAGACAGGCCTCTCGTGAAGCCGACACCGCTTCCCCCACGTCTCGTTTTTAAAGCAATCACTGTGGAGTAAGTTTTCCTCCAAAGCTGCCTTGAGAATTGCTTCCTGAAACAGGAATAATGATTGTTTTTCTGAAAAAATGCCAGTCGCCAGCTCTGACAGCTGATGTGCAGGATGGAGGATGGTGAGGTGAGACTTCTCCTCCGGGTTCTACACGTGATTCACTGAGAGGATGGGGCAATGATCAGGGACATGGGTCTTCACTGCCACCTGAGAAATGGGACAATAGTTAATCAATCCCCTATCTTTTGGGGGTGTGGGTGTGGCACCACACTGCATTAATATTTTTGCTCTCTGGAGAAACAGATGCACTTGGAGAATGTCATTCTTATAAAACTGACCTTTTCTTTCTCAAGATTGTTACTTTTTTTTTTATGGGAGCGAGTGGGGGTGGGCGGTCATGTTATTTTTATCCCTGAGTATAACTTTAAGGAAATTGAGATATTAGAGGTGCAAACCATTAGGGTACAGGACTGGCCGTCCTTGATAATGAGCTCTTTTTAGCAGGAAGTTTGCTCTTTAATACAACAGAAAAGTAATTTACTGAGAAGTGTCCCTGGGGACAGAAAGGAATCACAAACGCGCTTCTGCGGATATTTCACACAGCCAGCTACGGCGAGGAGGGACCAGACTGTTTTCGGAGCCTGGAGATGGGTTTCCTGTCTCCTCTGCTAGCAGCTGGCTGTGCCCACTGCTCCAGGCCTTGGGGTCCCCACTTGTAAAACGAGCAGGCTGAGATACATCTGTGGTTTCTGTGCATTGCTAAGCAGCGGAACAATTTTTTAGAAACCGAACACAGACCACGCCAGGAGGGGCACCTGAACCCCACCTGCACCTATGAGGTTCTCCATACCCCTCACAGCACCCCCCAAGGGGTAGGGAGAACCTTGGCTATTTGCTTCAAGGAGCAGAGGCTGTTTCTGTTGCAGCGTGGTACACGGAAATCCAGTAATCACATGAGCAATGTGCCCGTTTATGTTGCTTTTCACGGTCCGGCTGCGAGCCGATGGGTGGTGGGCCCAGCCTCGAAGAAGGCTGACACTGGGAGAGGAGACCGGAGCAGGGGAGCAGGAGAGGGAGAAAAAGGCAGTGGGAGAGGAATATACCCTCGTATTCCTAATTACTATGTACAGAAGCGAAAATTAACAGTGAAGAAGGCAAAGAGGAAAAAACGGCTTCATTCGGAATACGATGTCAGAGGTGAGCTTTACGAATGCCCCGGACTGGCAGGAAGATGAACGAGTGGGTCCCAGAGCAAATTAAGCCTGAAATATCACTGGAGGCAAAGATGACAAAGCTGAAGCTGTCCTACTTCAGGCACATCCAGAAAAGGCAGGGCTCTTTGGAAAAGACAATAACGCTGGGAAAATAGAAGGCGGCAGGAGAGGGAGATGAAATATGGGCCCAATGGACCTGATAAAAGGAGCCCTAGGCGTGAGTCTGCAGGAGCTGAGCAGGGCTGCTGAGGACAGAGCACGGCGGCCATCGCTCGTCACAGGGTCGCCGGGAGTCAGAGCCCACTCAACGGCACACGCAAACACCCAGAGCAAGGGTCCTGGGCTTTGAATTTCCAGGCCCGGGTGTGCCGCTCACCGGCTGCGTGACTCTGGGCAAGTCACTTACTTAACCCAGCTCCCCATCAGAGACCCAAGGACCCCAAGGCCTTCCTCAGAGGTCGTTCTTGTCAAGAACAAATGGGACAATGTATGGGCCCGGTACATTCAAATGACCACCTACATGGCAAATGGGCAGGAAATCGTTCAGGTGGGAGGTGAGGCAACAGAACATTTGTTTAATGTTTGACAATTCACAAAGCCCTTTCACCCACAGAAGTGGGAAGACTGTGCCTGCACCTCCATGTCTGTGTGTCCACCCTGACTCCCCTCCTGCCACCAGTCACAAGTGATGTCAGTTACAGGTGATGTCAATAACAACAACGATAACACCAAGCCCCAGTGTTCATGTCCAACATTCACTAGGTGCCAGGCTCTGTCCTAGGCACTTTACCCGAAACTCGTTTAACAGTCGCAGCTGCCTACAGAGGAGGGCACTGGAGCACAGAGGTCAGGTGACGGGGTCTGGTACGTGGCAGGGCCAGCGTCAAAGGTGCAACCTCTGCCAGACTCTCTGCTAAAGAACAGGGCTGTGGAGGCCCGGAGACACCCCCCCGGCTTCAGTGGGCTCACGGACCTCACTTCAGGGACACAAATACATCTCATACAAGGTGCTAGACGCTACATAACCATGGTGGCCAAGTGTTAAGGGGACAGAGGGAAAGAACTCTGATCATTCACTCATCGGACACGTGCGTTTCATGTGTGAACAAGACCAGTGTGGTGGCCCCTGATCTCGGAAGGTACCGTCTAGCAGGGGAGACACGCAATCCAGTCAATATCAACACACATAATGTTCACATGTTATACTTATTTGTATTTTAATTCTGCCAGTGATAAATGCTAAGAAGGAAAAATAAATGGTTTCATGACAATGAGTGTAGGTCAAGAGTTAGGGAAGGATTTTAGAGGTGGTAGCAACTGAAGTTGTGTGTGTGTGTGTGTGTGTGTGTGAGAGACAGAGAGAGAGAGAGAGGGGATGTGTACACACACACACACACACACCCACCCACCACTGAGGCATCTTACTAAAGGCATGCAATTAAGAACGTGGTCTTAAAATGGGTCAACAGGGAGGTCAGCTTTGTTCGCTCTGGAGCGCACTCAGACTCCCTCCCTTCACCCTTGATTAGCACCTCGACACAATGTGAACAGTGGAGAGGATTCTTCTTGATTTTTCTGCAACTGGTGAAACCTTTGATGCAAAAGTTGAAGCTACTGGCTGCAAGGCAGTGTGGTACAGTCGCTAGGATCACATGCTCGGGAACAGACAGCCAAGGTCTGGTCACCACATCACCATGTAAGAGCTGTATAGCCAAGGCTAAGACACTTAACCTCTGAGTCTGTTTCCTTATTGTTGAACGGCATGGCAGATATTACTTTTTTTAACACCTTCTCTAATCCACTTTCCTGCCTCTACTAAAATCAGAACACTCCTATGGCCCCGCCACCCTTGCAGATACAGGTGCCCAGACGGCAGAATTGTGGCCAAAAGTCTTTCGTGAATAAGAAGACAAAGTCTTGAAAGGAAGAAGCTTTGTTCTCTTTGCCCTCCTTCCTTCTTCCTGAGCCATAGCAGCCATTCTGTGACCATGAGGATGAGGAAGCAGAAAAAAAGAAGCCTGATTCATTCTTTGATGATAGCCTTGAGCAGCTGTACCAATCCTGAATCTTATTACAAAATGAATGATTAACTAAGGAAGAAATCCTTACTTGTCTGAGCTATTGTTTATCAGGTTTTCTGTTACACTTTAATGCATTTCTGTAGAGATAAAAATGGGATAAAAATAAAACCTACTGCGTGCGTTGCTGTGAGGACTATACAAGATAATGCGCACACAGTGTCAGGTTCACGGCCGGGCGCAGAGCAAGAGTCAGTAAATGGCGGCCCCTATGTTGGTGCTGCTGAAGTAGGGAAAACCTGCCACCCCTTTGGCAAGGAAGTCCCAGGAGGGAGCACTGAGGGCGGGAACTGGGCGAACGGGCCCTACCTCGATCGCTGAAGTCATCAACCAGCACAATCTCGGCGATGAGCTCCGGGGGTGAGCGGTTCAGCACGCTGTGGACGGTGCGGAGGAGGGAGGACCAGCCCTCATTGTGGAAGGGGATGATGATGCTGGTGTTGGGGAGCGTCTCCAGGTAGCGTTTTCTGTTGCAGCTAGAGGGAGACACGGGGGACAGGGAGAGGACAGGTTCAGCTCTCATCTTGCCAAGAGAACTCAGGCACATGTTTTGGCTAAGTGCGAATCCCACTCCCTCTCCAGCCTTCAGGGAATGAGTGAAAGCTGGAGACACTTCTGCCACTCCAGAACCTTCTTCTACTTGGCATCCTGAACCTGCACCTGTTTGCCTCCAACCCCTGTACACACAGTTCACGGGGATAAGCACACACGATCCAAAAGAAGGGCAGCCAGTGCTGATGGAGCAGCACGGGGGTTCCGTGCTTCATTACCGTGTTTAAGCCTCAGTCATGATACGAACGTGGGTGCCCATCCTCACGACCCCATGTAGTGGAACACGGGTGCCCATCCTCACGACCCCATGTGGAGGAGAGCCCTTCAGCAGCTCTGGACTCTCTCCCCGCCCTGCACATTCATCCCAGTGGGGGAGAAACCCTTTATCCATGAGTTTGGAAGAATCACCTAGGCTTCACTGGCTCAGCCCCCTCTCTCTTCCCCTCTCCGGGCTCTTCCAGCAAAGGGCTTGTTTTCTCCTCCACCCTTCCTCAGCCCCGTGGTAAGCCTCAGGGTGGGAGGCCCTGCCCCTGTGGGCCTGCCATATCATTACAGCACCGAAAAGAATTATCATAGCCCCTTATTATCATCGAGTATCTAGATGGTGTTCAAATTTCCTGGGTCTTCTTGTGTCTTCTCATAGTTGGTCTGTATAAATCAGGATCCAGACGAGGTTCATACACTGCCTTTAGCTGATGTCTCCTGTGTCTCTTTTTTTCTTACAGTTTATTTGTTGAAGAAACGGGGTCATTTGTCCTATAGGGTTGCCCACAGTCTGCATTTTGCTGCTTGCTTTGCTGTGGTTCTCTGAATGTTTGTTTATCTGTCCACCCTCCAACCCCAGTTCCTGTAAACTGGTAGTTAGATCTAGGGGCTTGACCTAATTGGATGGAATATTCTGGCAACATTTTCAAAGGTGTGAGTATCCCATGGGAAATATGCAATATCCAGTTGTCTTTCCTTTTGTGATGTTGGTGAATTGATGAATCCTTTATTTCATCGGGGGTTTGCAAAAACGATGATATTCTAATTCTATAATTCTTCACTTACTAGCTGGAATATTTCTATCAAGAAAAATGACCACACTAACTATTTGGTTACCCCGAAGTACAGGAAAGACAGTGTAAGTTCTTGATTCTTTGTTTCAGAATGACTTGGTTTCCCAGAACTCCCCAAAGATGGCAATTAGTGGTTTTCATTATGATCTCATACATTTTAACATAATTAATATGTCTCAATTCAGGGTAAGTATTATTCTTACTGGTTCTCAATAAGCCTGTCTTAGCCCAAGGGAGTCTTCTCGAGTTGGCTCCTCGTCCTTCCAACATAACCACAGAGTACTGATAGCTTCTCTGCTCTCTGATAAAAGATACCAGAAGATCCCAGGCTTAGCCGGTACACTTCCTGCCCTCACTCAGAATCAGCCATTCTGCCAAGGAACCCTGGCTCCTTAATACCATCAATACCTCCATTCAGATACTGGGCACTGAGGGCACTCACTACTGCTGGCTTGGTTATGGTTTCTACACCTTCACGGTGGCTGGAGCTAGAAATATACTTTAGTAGATATGTCATACGTTTATGCTGAAGTTTTATATTTAATATTTAGGGTTAGAGTTTTATTAAGCTTCAACTTTATATTGCATCTCCTTTTACTGAGATGTGATTCACATACCACAAAATTCACCCTTTTAAAGTATGCAATTTAGTAGTGTTTAATATAATCACGAAGTCGTACAACTATCACCACTGTCCAACTCTAGGACATTTTCATTGCCACTAAAAGAAAGTCCACCCACATTAGCAGTCACTACCCGTTATTCCCTTCCCCTCGTCCTTGGCAACCATTTATGTGCTTTCTGTTTTCACATGTTTGCCTATCCTGCACATTTTACATAAATGGAATCATATAATATGTGGTCTTTGTGTCTGGTTTCTTTCACTTTATTCTTTTTCACGGCACAATACCATTTCACTGGATGGATATGCCACATTCATTTATAGGCAGGCATTTGGGTTGTTTCTCCTTTTGGCTATTATAAATATGCTGCTATGAATATTCATGTACAAGTTGTTGTGCATACATATGTTTTCAATTCTCTTGGGTAGATACCAAGGAGTAGAATTATTCGATCATAAAGTAACTCCATGATTACTCTTAAAAAAAAAAAAACTACCGACCTGTCTTCTAAAGTAGAAGCACCATTTTCCATTCCTGCCAGCAATTACGAGGGTTCCAGTTTCTCCACATGTGCTTACCAACTCTTGTTATTGTCATTCCTATGATTATAGACATCCCGGTGGGTATGAAGTGGTATCTCATTATTGCAGCTTTCTAATTGTATATCTTCTTTGGAGAAATAAATGTCTAGTAAATATGTATTTCATTTTTAAGTTGTTCCTTGCTCATATAGAGAAACAAAATGGATTTTTGTATACTGAGCTAGTATTTTACAATCTTCCTGAACACATTTATTAATACTAATTTTTTTAGTGTGGATTTCTTAGGATTTTCCATATATGAGAGTGTTGTTTGCAAATAGAGACAGTTTTACTTCTTTCTTTCCAATTGAGATGCCTTTTTTCTTGTCTAATTGCTGTGGCTAGAAACTCCAGTACAATGTTGAGCAGAAGTGACAAGAGCAGACACCCTTATTTTGTTCCTAATCTTAGGAGGAAAAGCTTTCAGTCTTTCACCATTAAACATAATGTTAGTATGGATGTTTCACAGATGCTCTTCACTGGGTTGAGGAAGTTCCCTTTTGTTCCTAGTCTGCCGAATGCTTTTGTCATGAAAAGTGTTGTGTTTTGCCCAATGCTTTCTGTGTCTAATGAGATGACCATATATGGGGTTTGTTCTTTATTCTGTTAATAGAGTATTGGGTATATTATATTGATTGATTTCTATATGTTGAACCAACCTTGCATTTCTAAGTTCTATTTGGTCATGGTGTAAAATCTTTCTTATCTGTTGCTGAATTTTGTTTGCTAGTATTTTGTGGAGGATTTTTGCACCTATATTCATCAGGGATATTGGTGTGTAGTTTTCTTGTAATGTCAGTCTGGTTTTAAATATTTTACCTCTTTTGCTAAAAATCTAGGTTTTTTTAAAGATTTTTAAAAAATTTACTTATTTTTAGGGAGGGAATGGAGGGAGAAAGAGAGAGAGAGAGACACCAATGCACGGTTGCTGGGGGCCGTGACCTGCAACCCAGGCATGTGCCCTGACTGGGAATCGAACCTGCGATGTTTTGGTTCGCAGCCTGCGCTCCATCCACTGAGCTACGCCAGCCTGGGCCAAAATCTAGGTTTTTAACATGTACACAGTTACTTAGTTTTTTTCTCTACAGTATATAAGTTTCAGCAAAATAATATCAACATTATTGCTAACAGTGATTATAGAAAATACAAGATTCCTTTTGTCCTTCATTCCTCTCTATCTGTGGAACCTGTTTCATTAGGGATATTAGGAGGTTTCCCAAGGGCCCAGAAGAGGTGATCTGAGGACCAGGCAGACTCAAAGGGAATGAAAAATCTTGTATCTGGAAATCAGCTGAGGTGGGCAGAGTAGCAGTCCCTATGTCCAAGCCTTAATCCACAGGAGCTGTGAACATGTTACCTTACATGGCAAAGGGGACTTTGCAGATGTGACTAAGGTTAAGAAGCTTAAGATGATTTTGAGAAACCTGAATTATCCAGGTGGGTCCAATCAAACTCAGGAGTCCTTCGGAGCAGAGAACATTTCTGGCTTGGTTAGAGCAATGGGAAGGAAGGAATAAAGATTTTAAGTGTGAGAAGGACTCGACCCACCCCTGCTGGCGTTGAAGATGGAGGGAGGCGTTGTGAGCCAGGGAAGGCGGGTGGCCTTCAGAAGCTGGAAATGGTCCTCAGCTGACAGCAGGCAAGGAAACGGGATGCTCACTCCACATAACTAAATTCTGCTAACAGCGCAGACAATCAAGATTTCCCTGGAGCCCCCAGAAACGAATATCCAGCCAATGCCCTGATGTTGGCCCAGTGAGATCCAAGTTGGACTTCTGATTTACAGAACTGTAAAGATGAATTTGTGTTGATTAAGCTGCTAAGTGTATGGTAATGTGTTACGGCAGTTCGAAAACTCATGCATAAGGAGTCATCCTAGATACCCTTTGCCCAGTGCATAAACATCATTTGCAAACATTTAAAAAGGGAAAGGTCTGACATGGAAACTCCCACGAGTCTCACGTGGCAGCGATGGGCTAGAGTTGACAGTGGATGCCTCTCTGTATGGGTCAGGTGTGCTCGGGCCCTCAGCTCTCTACACTCCCACAGCTGTATGCCAGGGCTGCTTCCCTGACTCCTGCTACCTCCAGGTGCCTGGAGACATTTGAAGTTGAGAGCCCAAAAGCATCATGGGAGGGAGCTTCACAATACTGGTAAGAAGTCTGGGGGGAAAATTTGCGACGTCTGGGGCAATGCACATAACAGAATCTCTCCTTTTGTATGACACTGCAATGCACTGTTTAACTGTCAGAATGTGCCCAGGTCTCTTGGCAACTTACTTTGATATGTATCAAAAATAAAATGGGTGGATGGAGGGAAAGAGGGATGGACAGACATGATCAAGTCAGTAGAGGAATGTTAACTGCATAATCTAAATGGTGGGAACATGAACTTTCTGTGTACAATTCTTTAAACTTTTCTGTATGTTTGATAATTTTCAGAAAGAAATATTGGCCCTGGCTGGTGTGGCTCAGTGGATTGAGTGCCAGCCTGCAAATCAAAGGGTCGCCAGTTCGATTCCCAGTCAGGGCACATGCCTGGGTTGAGGGCCAGGTCCCCACTAGGGGGTGCTCGAGAGGCAACCCCATGTGGATGTTTCTCTCCCTCTCTTTTTCTCTCCCTTCCCTTCTCTCTAAAATTAAATAAATAAAATCTTTAAAAA